CCTCCTCTTGCACACAGTGATAAATCAGTTCATTCAAGGTCCATTTATCTTTCTAAGTATTATAACTCACCTTCAATTGTCCAAAGTGCGTTGGAAGAGAAATCAAAACTAAGTGCACAAGCAAGTCATCAGACAACTCTAACTTTAGTGCTTTTAGTTTTGACACGAGATTAGACATTTCCATAATGTACTCCCTTATATTTCCTTTAACTTTGTATTTCATAGAGATAAGTTTAGCAAGAAAACTACTTTCATAAGCTTTCTCATTACTGGTGAAATACTGCTCAAAAACATCAAGGAAACCTTTAGCATTGTGACTCTCAGAAATAGAGCCCCGAAAAGCTTCTGGAACAAATCGCTTCATGATCATCAGACACATTCGGTTTGAGCGTTCCCACTTTTGAACCTTATCCTCATCCAGGTTTTTCGGAGTTGGAGTGGGTTTCTCAACCCGAAGTCCAAGATCAAGATCCATGCAGCCAAGAATTATCTCAACTACTTCCTTCCAAGCCTTAAAGTTTGTCCCATTAAGCATGTGTATATAATTAATTTGAGCAGACAAGTTAACAGCACTAGCAACAACAACTGTAATAGAACATAGATAAAAAAAATTTAATTGCATGTTCATAAAGAAAAATAAAAATAAAATAAAATAAATAAAACATGTAGATTAGTTATATAATAGACCCATTACAAGATACCGAGCACAACATTAATTCTGTCTTTGGACATACAAATTAACTTGTTAGTGGTACTCTACATGAAAAGATAAAATATTGAAAATTAATTCTGTGAAATAATAGCCCCTCTTTGGACCGACTATTATTCACATGATTGTAACTTTATAATTGTCACATATTTATCATCACAGACATGTTATTATTTGGCCAAATTCTGTCTTCCTTTACAATTTTTAATTAAATTAATTTCTATAACAGGGATTGCTTTGGCAATATATTACATCGATTAATTTAATTAAAATTAGTAGACAATTAATTAATAAAGAGGTCTATAATCTGCCAAAATTCGCACTCAAATTTGAAAAAAAATATCAATTCAAATTTGAACATAATATCAATGATTGAGAGAATTTCAAATTTCAAGAAAATAATTCTTACGCGAATGCCATTAAGATTTCGATAATGTGGGATTTAATATATATTATGAATTTCATTCATGATCCAAACAAACAACATGCAACAGAAAATTAAATCGTAATTCCTAATTTATAAAATTAGGGTTCATATGAATTGAGATTTATATGTATATAATTGTCCCAAACATAGTTTAATATTGCAACAATGACCTTGTCAAAATTATTCCACTTTCGATAGTACTCTTATTTATATCATATTTGTTTCTTTATCTATCCTTTTCCTTTTAACTTTTCATATTATTTTCTCACTTATGGTGAGGAAAAGATTGTTTTATTTTCATTGTTGCACAACTATCTCACTTTCGGTGAGAAAAATATTCTTTTATTTTCATTGTTACACAATTATCTCACTCTCAGTGGGAAAAATATGCTTAAAATTTCTTCATTAACAATGTCTTCTAGATCATTGCAAAATCTTTACATATATATATATATATAACATTCATGGAAAATTATACAATTTCACAATACATAAAAAAATTCCTTTAATAAAAATTCAATTTTTAATCGATCCCCGTGCCCATACAACCAATTAAACCAAATTGAAACTATCATACGACCAACGTATTCAAATACACGTACTGTCAATGAAAAAAAAATTGTAATAATACGCTTTAGAACCCCATAACCTAATGACAACAGCAACTTTGTTGATACCACTTGTTGGGATAAATTTCTTAAGCCAAATAGAAATTTTTCATTAATCAATATTAAGAACCGTTGTCTCAGATTACAGAGTTAAGGTTAGTAACACATACCTGTATCCATTAACGTTGATGAAAAGTTGCAGCAGAATAGTCTTTTGGTGTAATGATCTTCCTCAGTCAAATAACTAAATTTCTTAACGAGACTTGATGTTACTCATCTAATGGGGAGACAAAGAGACGTGTGTTTCTAATTTGGCATATTGGGGACCATGACCGTCTTTACGATTTTGAGCCTGTTAGGGTTCCCATTAACCCCTAATGGGTCAAATCTGATTTCCACTTATTTGTGCTCATATCAGTTTTCTTTATTGGCAGTCTAAAGGTTCATTAAAATTAGATCACTTTTGTTGAGCCCAACTAAATGTAAATAACTAATATAAATATTACAAATAATATATGTAGCCCACAATAATTATTAGAAATAAAATTTTTAATAGTTTTAGCAAAAAAAAATATAATTAATTATCTAGGATTATAAATAGAAAAGGAAAAATAATAATGTAAAAAATGTATTAGAAAATTTTTAAAATTTTCCAACTAGATTAAAAGATAAAAAAAAATATGTATAAAGATTTTTAGGATTATTAACCTATATTTCTAATGAAAGATTTAGCAGTGAAAATAAATATTTAACAAATGAAACTTAAAAACTATTCTTTATGGTCTAAGATCGAAGATGATGAAGAAACTATATAAAAAAAATTAAAAGAATTATGTAAAGATCTTCTAGAATCATACCATCCTTTAGATGATAATCTAATTATTATAGAAACAAATGCTTTAAATGAATGTTGAAGAGGAGTTACGAAGTCAAAACCTCTTGGACATTAAAAGAAATTACTACATAGATATATGTTTGGAAAGATTCTTTATGGTCTTAAATTGAAGATGATGAAGAAACTATTAAAATTTATATATATATATATATATAGAGAGTGACGGATCCATAAATTTTAAATAGTGGGGGCAATACTTATTTATATATTTATAATATTAAAAAATTTACATATAATTTTTAAAAGTATAAATATATATCATAATTATTTTTTACAAGTTTTAATATCTATGATTACAATTAAGGAAGAAAATAAGTTAGGTAAGAGTATGTTATATTATAATTTAGTAGGTTTGAACCAAACCTTTTTTTAAAATACATGTCCTAAATATGACTTATTTATCTATCATAGACAGTTTTTAAATATTTGGTTAGAACTACAATCCTAAAAATATACTTTATAATAATTTAATACTAATAAAAACATAAAAATAAATATGTTAAATTGTATAAAAATCAAATTTAATTTATTTATAATATAAACATATTTTTTATATCTAGCATAATATTTTAGATGATAATTTATTTGAAAACATATTTTATAATTAAAGTTCTAAATAGAACATAAATCTTTCAATTTTTCCCATTTTGATTTTTTTAATCCACGTATACAATCTTTAATATTTTTAATTATTTTTAATCAATGTATACATAAATAGAAAGCACAAAAGGTAGATATATATGCTGAAAATTTTATTTTATCAAAAATTAAACTTTTAAAAAAAATTAATTTGTTCTTAAAGAGTATTCTTTATTACATATGAGAACTAATCTCCTTCGAAAGTTTGATAAATATCAAATAAATGAACAACTATTTTAAATTTATATTTTGTACATATGATAATTTAAATATATATATATGTTTATTTTTAAAATATATTATTTTTCTAATATATAAATATGTGTGTGTGTGTGTGTGTGTGTGTGAAATGGTAGTGGGGGCATGTGCCCCCACTCTCCTCTACATGGATTCGACTTTATCTATTTATCTATCTATTTATCTATCTATCTATCTATCTATCTATCTATCTATCTATCTATGTATATATATATGTGTGTGTGTTATATATATATAAATTGGGCTTACTAGTTTCACCCCACCACTAATTTAGCCAACAACTCTCTTATTGTTTCATTTTTTTTTTTCATTTTCTTCTTCTTTTCTCCTAATATATTCCTTTAGTTCCCTAAGTTATTTTTTAGTACTATTTATACTACTATGAGAATTTTGACCATGCATAATATTATTATGAGAATGATCACTCATTTTTTCTTGAAAAGGTTTTCACAAAGGTTTGCAAGTAAAAGCAAAAATTGAAATGATAAATATTTTCACAAAAAAATTGAGTGTGTGTGTGTGCACGCATCCCTAATATGCAACGAAGCCTTTTAAATGAACTTGGAACATCCCTAAATGAATTTGGAAATTAAACTAACAAGTAAAGCAATAAAGAAAGCAAGTAAAAACATATATTAGTTGAGTTTCTAGGGTAGAAGTCTAAGTGACACTTAGAGCCCCTTTGAACACTTTTACAAGTACTAAACATTTCTAGAAAGCAAGTAAACTAGGCATGTCCCTAGTGGAAGCCTAATAAGTGACACTTGGAGCCCCTTAGGACACTTCCACAAGTACTAATGAACACTAAGTTTCACTAATAAAACTTAGGAGATATGGGAAAACACCAAGGGTTTCCCAAGTCACTCCTAAAAGGTAAAATGCAAATACAATAAGAGCAAGGAATATAAAGAGTCAAGCAACTAGAGATTACAAATGAAACGTAATTGAAATCCAAATCAAACAATTTAGAAACAAATTTAGAGATAGATTTAGAGTTGGATTTTGTGACGAATTGGCTTGCAATGAAAAATTTTTGTCTCTAATTTCATTTCTAATCCTTGTTTTGAAGTTTTTCCTACAAAATGAACACACAAGTTAGTCTCACCAAAGTGTTTCACTCTAGATTTTAAGTTCCTCAATCTCCCAAAAGTTCTAGCCCCCTTTGAAGTGGTTCCAAATATGTCTCAATTATTAACTTATTTCTAAGTGTGAGATGTGACACCCTCTACCCCAACATACATGCAAAAACATATCCTTTGTTTAAATAAAATATTTATAATTAAAACAATGAATCCATTAACATAAGAGTAGACAATTCACATTCGTATACTTCAAACATGGTCAAATGCGAAATTTATAGCAAAATGAATCTTTTCCAAAACAGAATAATAATAAGGAAATCCTAAACTAAATCTAGTTATGCCCCGATGTCACATATCATATCAGAGCATGCCCAACTGAAGCCTAAACCTCGTCACCAACATCCTCGTGCTGATGATCATCTGCAAAACAATTTAAACATATACAAAGAACAACAAGGGAGTGAGAAATATCTCACTCGATTCCAGGTGTAGAAATAACAGTTAGGCAACACACACACGAATCATAACAATCACAACCATAGCTACACATTATTCAGGTATAAATTCAAATTATACATACAATAGTAACACATGCACAGTCATTCATCATACAATGATCTCATAGACTCGACTCATAAATGCATGTGGCGCCAATATCGTGTCTCAGAATCACATTTCTCATCATTTCATTACTGGTGACCCAAGGTACACCTTGTTAGCTTGTGACATCACCAGTGACCCTAAGGTACACCTTGTTAATTTGTTACATCATCGATGACCTAAAGTACACCTTGTTAGCTCATATATGCACATGATGCATGTCACACCTTCACGATTTCATTGACTTAACATTTCACTTATCACGTCTCATCATATCTTATGTAGCATTATTTCACAATATCATATCACAGATTAAATGTTCACCTTTCACATTCTCACATCATGTTCACATAGTCTCATGCAAGAAACTTCTCGTAGTCATATACATAAATCATACTAAGTAATTATCCAAAACATGAAGCCATCATCAATTTTACATATATTGCCTCAAAATCATCCAAAGATCATATTCCTAATTTTTACTTCATAGGGTTTCTCACAAGAAATCACCGAACACTCTAATTCATATCAAAACTTATCTAATTATGAAATCAAATACATATTCACACTCTACATCACACAAGGAATACAACAGAAAGAATCAGAAAGCAAAACAGAAAATATTCATATTTTGCTTGTTCCTAGAAGCATGCATCAGGCAAGGGATTTGGGGTCAATCCTACTACCCAACAATTATTCCCACACCCCTGAGCGAGATTTCTCACTCCCCCCTTACCTAGATAAGCAAAAGATGAAGCTAGAGCAGAATCTGGTTGATTTCCTCCTCTTGGTTCTCCTTGGTCTCTAGAGAGTGTGTCCAGAAATAGTGCTAGAGTGCTCTATTTATAGATTTTAAGAGTGGCCAGAACAACCCGTTTCAAATCCGGAATGATCCGTTCAGGACTCATTCGTCATGTGTAAGATTTCACATCCAAAACGGCCCGTTCTAAAACCAGAATGGCCCGTTATGGGGTTACATTTTAACCCATAACGGCCATGTTTAGAACGACCCGTTCTTAAACTATAACGGTACGTTCCCAACTAGGGTTACAAGCCTTTTTGGTGGTTTGGAACGCCTCATTCCCAACTAAGATTTGTAGGCAATTTTAGTATTTTGGAACGGCCTATTCTAGGCTAATAAATCACCCTTGTTTTAGTAGTTTAGAACGATCTGTTCCAATTTGGGAACGGCCCGTTCTGGGCTACTAAATTACCCCTATAAAATTACTAAATTACCCTCAATAAAAGTATGAAAACTGGGGTGTTACATGAGAACTTGAAAATGAACCTATCACCATCGAGAGATAACAACCAAGAGAGAGTAGAAGCCAATAAAATCAAGACTAAAAAACACAATTAGAAGAGGTTAAACTCAATTAAGAATTAATGCAAAAAACTCAAAGAATATTAAATAACACAAAGCAAGAAAATAAAGGACAATTTCAACACTAGCTTTCAAAGAAATAATCCTAGAAATGGTATTAGAGTTGATTACAAGATGAAACAAAAATTTGTGCTAAATTTTTTAGAGATTTTAGTGTATTTCGATCCACTAGATAGAGAGTAGATCAAAGGAAAAAAAATACACAAAAAATAAATCACAAAGCCAAGTGCTCTAAGCTTTCATTTTTTTTTACACTTTTTTTTTCTAGCTTTTGCTTTTGTTTTCTTTTTCTTTTGCTACCTTCTTGGCTCTTTCTTTCTTTATTTATTTTTACACTGAATATGAGCACTAAACAGAGGCCTAAAACTGAATTAAAAAGGTTTACAAGTGGTGGGAAAGAGGTATAGGAAGTGTAAGTGTACTAGACAAGTTTCTATGTTATTAGTAACTAGTTTTGCTTCTAGTTTGTTCTCTTTTTTGTACACTTTCTTTAATTTTCATTTTACACTTCCTAATCTGATTTTATATCTCAAACAAAGCACAAAATAATCAAACAATTTCTAGCCTTAAATTTCTAAGTAAGAGTTAGCAAGTGAAGTTTACTAAATATGACACTAGGACATGCTAGATCTAGTAACATGCATAAGAATCATTCAATGAGCACTTCTAAGAATATTATTATGCACAACCAGTAATATAACTAAACCAAAATAGAGACAAATGTTCATAGATTTCAAAAGAAAAAGGCACACAAGAGAAGTAATGACAAGTAAAGCAACTACACAAGACTTCTAAGACAAAACTAGGAGATTAAGAAAGGAAAAATGCACAAAACTACTTGTTTTTCTTTGGAGTTTTATTTTGAATGAATATTTTGGAGTTTCAAACAAGATATAAGCAATCCTAAAACATTAAAATATAGTATCAAGATTAACCTAAAGGCAAACAACAAGATTGATCCATATAGATTGATGTATGAATAAAAAAAATTCAAGACAAAATGAATTGTTCTATAGATTTATAGTTGTGACACAAGAACAATTTTAATCCATACAAATCAATGTACAATCAAGAAGCAACCATATAGAACAAATTAAGACACTAAACAACATGTTTTGACTGAAAAAAATTGAAAGGAAGCTTAAGGAAAGTGTTTACCAAGAAGACCTTGCTCTTGATACCAAATGATCGAAACCTCAAGGAAGAACTAGATTGTTGTAGCTTTTCCTTCAAGTTTCTTCCTAGATTTTTTCTTTCTTGTCACTCCTCAAGCTTCTTCAAAGTCTCCAATAGAAGAGAAAATCTCTGGACTCACCTTTAATGGTGAAAAACTTTCTTCATGTGGTGTCACTTCAAGGTAGAAGATAAACCACTTCAAATCTCACCACACTCTTAGGAAGAGGATAAAAGAATTGGAAGCAAATTAAAGAGAGAATTTACACTTTTGAGAGAGAATTTAAGAGTAATTCTTGGCCAAACTCAAAAAATATCATCAAAAGTGAGTTTTACATGTGAAGAAACCTATATATAGTGGTGGAGAAGCTTGTAATGCAAGTTAGACAAGGTAGAGACAAGGTAAGAACACTTAGATCTAGAAAAGTCAATCATAGAGTGTCAAGCGTCACCTTGTCTCCTAGGAGACAAGGAGGAGACACCTAGATCTAGAAGAGCCAATCATATAGTGTCAAGTGTCACCTTATCTCCTTGGTAAGCTAGGTGGCAAGGTGTGTTGGAGTAGCTTGTAATTTTCAGCCAAAGAGAAGGGAAGGGCTGCCAAGCTTGTTTTTCTTCACTTAATCCAATCCAAAAGGTTGTATTTTCATTTAGTTAGGTTCACCAAATGATGGTGAGACCTAACTAAATTGTTCACCAAATGATGGTGAGACCTAACTAAATCAATTCCTTTGATTGATTGGAGAAAAATAAGCTTAATATGTAAAATTTGGCCTAGGCCCACTAAAAGCTCAATTGCTAGTTTCACCTACACAATTGCTACTTGCTACCCCATTACTAAAACTAAAAATATGAAAATCTATAATCCTTAATACAAGGTCAAATGAAGTAAAAGTCTCCAAGAAACATACCCTAAAATGCTAAGGGTATGACCTATTATGAAAGATAAAGGTGTCATATAAATACAAAGGCAAAAATAAGTCTATACATGTATCTACTATGTACAAGTAAGACAACTCAAACTATACAAGATATGTGCAATAGAGACTATGAGACTAAAAAGATGAATCATATTCAATGTTCATATAGAGCATAAGTCTAAAAAGCACATCTTCTGTAGAAGCTTCCTGACCATAGAGCTAGTTAAAGGTCCAATGGTATTCAATGTGAACTTTTCATAGATAGTCCTTCATCATATTGATAAAGTAAAATATTCTGAGATAAATATATTAGCTCTACAAGTAAAAAATCTTGCTAATATAATTACTGGAAATATATGATAACATATTTTGTAGATGATTATTTACTTAAAGATATAGAAAAAATAGCAATTTGTTTATTACCTTTTCCTAGGGTGATAAAATAAAAAATAATGAATATATTATTAGAAGATTATTTTTGAAAAGAATTAGATCGATTAAAAATAGGAGAAAGAAAAAAAAAATATAGGGTATGAATTTATAGAAAGAGAAGAATTTTTTAATTTCTCATAATAGATTGGTATCAAGCAAGAATTGAACTCAAAAACATTAGAGAGCAAGTTGAAAAGGACTATAAAAATAAAATGGATAATGAATATTCAATAAATAAAAAATATGAGTAGAATTGCAAGAGAAAATATTGAAGATTATAATACAACAATAAGAGTTTTGAGAAAAAAAAATAGAGAAAACGTAAAATATCATATGACAAGATTAACACTAACTAAATAAATAAGAGATTTTAAAATTAATTAAAAAAATATTTTAATATCATAAACAATTAAGAAAATTAAGATATTTACTAATATAAAGAATAATAATGACTATCCATATCAAATAAAAACCATAATAAAAAGAGAATAGATAATAATAGAAAAATTTAAGCTACTATAAAAAGATTTAAAAAAAAAACTAAGAGAATCCACTAATAATGCAATAGAGAAACTAAGATATACTAATGAATTTCAAGAATTAGAACAAACAAAACAAAAGAAAATTAAAAAATTACTAGAATTGAGTTATATTATCATATAATGGATTATATTAAGAAAGAATGCAAAATCCACATAAGACAAATAGAAAGATTAAATAAACTAGAAGAATATTGGAAACAATATACAAATCTTCCAAAAAAATTTATGAAAGGAATTCAAAATATGAAACATCATACAGAAAAATTATTAAAAATACTTAATTTAGGATAATTGGTAAAATACCTACTAAATTAACAACAAAAATATTAAAATATATTAATATTTTCAAAACAATTTTTGGAACAAGTTGCTTGGAGGCTATGGCAAAACTAAAATAAAGTTGAGTTCGAATGGATTATCAATTTAATCAAGTTAAAAAAAAATGGCTCAACACAAGTAATTTTACTTAAGCTCATTTTGAGATTTTTGAACCTATCGATACCTAAACTCAACCATAGTAGTGTGTTGTGAGTCGGGAAATTTGAGAAGATGGAATATGCATTAGAGTTATTCTCTCTCCTCCACAGAGTGGACACAAAGGTGTAATTCTCTACTATGTTCTAAGAAAGAGAGATGGGCGAAGGACTTAAACTAGTGGAGAAAAAAGTGCAAAGGAATTATTCAATGAAATCTTTGTAGATGGGTTCGTTGATGATTATGAGGTTGTTCAAAGTTGAGAGGTTGATGGGTGGAGTTCCTTCTCCATGCTGGAGGACTAGTGGTAGTGTGAATGAGGGAATGAGAGTGCATGTAGCTTTGAATTCAGAGATGAGTTCAAGCCAAAGTCTAAGGTTTTTGATGAAGTTGTTTCAAGGCTCAATATATCTCTTATCTATAGAAAACCATCTACATATATTGAGACCCACTTAAATTGATAGGTTATTTGGTCGGATTCGAGTCTAAATAATGCAATTTGTGAGTTATACCAGTTTGATTTTATCGATCCAAAACTAACCATACCTGATCGTTGATTACTCCTAAAGACTTACAACCTGACTTGCTTATTAAAAATGTGAGATTTATATTTTTTGAAAAAACATTTTCTTGGTGAAAGGGTATACTCAAGTCTTTATAAAATACATGTTAGGTATAAACCAACTTATTTATATAATAAATAATTGCAGATTATATACAATTATATGATGTATTATATATATATATATAGAAGTCTAATTTTGCTTGAGTTTGATTAGGTTAAGTCATAAACACCCATCATATATATATATATATATTATTTTTATTTAATATATTATTACTAATAATAAATTTTTTAACAAAAATAATTTCATTCAAAATTTTGAAAGTATTACATTATGCGAATGTAAGGCTAATATTGCAAACATTTACTAACATTTGCATATTTGTATGTTTTTATTGTTGAACTCTTTGTATTGTTGTTTTTTTTTTTTGGTAAATTAACGAAAGATAAAACAAGAAAAACAAGATTACAGACTTGACAAGGAATCAACTCCTAAGGCCATAAACACGAAACTAGGAGGACTCACCCATTTCACCATATCAACCAAGTTCCGAGCACCCTAACAAACAAGATTGTACGCCACTGAGTTACATTCTCGAGGAACCCAAGAAATCTCCACAACCCAATTCCAAGTCCTCATGTCCTTCACACGCCAGATGATGTCACGATGCTTGTGTAAGTTGTCTTGAACTCGCCAGCTACCTCGCACAGCTTGGACTGCCCCTAAACAGTCCAACTCACACACGATGTGCCTAAACCCCTCCTCCCAGCAAAGTAATAGTCCTTCCTCTAATGCAAGAAGCTCTGTGCATAGGGCATCTCCCTCCCTACTACCTGCAGAACAACCACCCTTCCATCTCCCTGCAGCATCCCTAATAACTCCACCTCTACCCATGGCCTGTTGTTGTTTTAGCCAACTCCTGTCAACGTTGAGCTTCACAGACGGAGCAGTTGGGGTGCACCAAACGCTAATAGTAGACCAGTGGTTACGTTGCTATTAAACAACACGTTTTGAACATTAGATATAGCAATCTGGCGCTTTAAGAAATTAACGGACCAGCTAGTACCCTGAAAATTCCTGTTATTACAAAAACGCCAAAGCCACCAGAGAATCATAGCTAGAAACTCGGCCTGCTTATCATTGTATCGTTGTTTTAACTAGAAATTATGAATTTATTAAATTTCTCTTTATATAATTGAGATATACAATCTATGTTAGTAAATTTGAAGATTTGAATTCATGGAGAAGATCACATGTTTTTTTTTTAAAGTATATATAATTGCTTGTTGATTTTTAATATTATTAATATTTCTACATGAAGTTAGATGAAAAACACATAGAAGGGGGAGTGAATATGTGTGTGTGTGTGAACAAAGGAATCTTAAAAAAAATTTCGCAAGAAGACTCTTTTTCGTCCAATAAAATAATATTGTTAAATGCCAACTGGAACTCTCCAGGATTAGTTCATCAATATTTTTGTGTTTGGAAATTTCATCGTCTGCTTAAGAAAAATATTTCTTAAACGAAAATCGTTCTTTAGAATAACAAGTTAAATGAGTGTGGTTTTCGTCTGAAGATAATTTTAATGGACGATAAGCGTTAGACGAAGTTTTCAATATATTGATTCAATCAAATAAAGTGCGTCTAAAATATTAGAGTATATAACAAGTATTTTTATACTGGTTCACTCAAACTGAGCTACGTTTAGTCTCCTTCAATTGAAGGGTTCCACTAGATAATCAATAAAGTGCAAGTATTGTTTGTTCAGCCTCTTCAGGCTCGTAGTGAGTATTATAGACCACCCAGGTCACGACCACTCCTGGTCCCAAGTATTCTCAACCACTTCTGACTCGTCAACTTCACTCGCAGGCGCTAGTATTCTTTACTCAACCACTTCTGGCTCCTAGTGAGTATTATCGACCAACTCCTGGCCCGTTGATTTCACTCATCAACACTAGTATTCTTTACTCAGCCACTTCTAGCTTGCAATGAGTATTCTTTGATAAGCCTCTCCAAGTTTTATAAGTATTCTTTTCCTAGCCTCTTCAGGGTTTACAAATATCAACTGGACAGGGTTAGTTTGAGTGTATAGGTTACTCTCATAGAGAGGATACAAAGGAATCTCTAAGGTATGTAACCTTAGTCTTTACAACGATTGAGTGTTTGGTCTACTCTCACAAAGAGGATACATAAATCGGTATACTCACTAAGGTTTTGTTCCTAAGATGCACATGTTTGGAACTCCTTAGTTTACAGAGACGAATACACTATGGTACACTTGACTCTATACGCTCTATCTCTGGTTTGTTGCTTTTTGGGCTTGATATCACTTGGTTAAGAATGCAAAGCCAAAGGCCAGCCAATGAAGCCAACCTTCTAAGGTTTGAGATAGTGATATATATATTGTCTTGTAGAATCTGCCCATTACAAGTGTCCGTTGAAGCAGATATAGTCATTTATGACTAGTTCAATCTACTCATTTAATGCTTGAGTTCTTGCATTAAATGTTGCTTCCTGTGATAGACCTTGCGTGAAGTCTTCTTTGCCTTGTTAGCAGTAGTATCTGAATTTAGCAGAGACCTAGGAACCTTTTTGTCTTTTTTTGGTCACATAGCTGTAGAGTGTTGTCCTTATCTGAAAAAGTGATGTACTTTTTCTGACACGTGCATGCTTTTGCTTTTACGTGCTTTTCTTCTTCTTCTTTCATCACGCTATCATGTTGAGAGCATTTGAGTGATTGTAGACGATGCCTTGATTTTTCTTTTAAGACTTCATTCTTTAAATGCTTACATGGCAATATTCGTCTGCGTCTGTTGGTCCTATGCATCTCAATATTGGCCTTCATTTAAGCATCTGAGTTTAGTGCTTTGACTTTTCTCTTAATCTGGTCAACATTATAGGTGGACAAACTCTATCCTTTGTATGACGTGTCTTTCAATCTATCCTGTCCTTCGTTTGACTTTCTTCTGTTCTTTATCTCATGCTTCGTCTAATTCCTTATGTTGTACTGGAGGTTGTCCTTAACACACACCTTCATTTGATATTGGACTCATAGTCGTCTGGTGCACATATTGTACTTTGTCTCTTTCAATTTGATTTGTCTGATTCTCATGATGTGCCTTGCCTCGACTGTTCTTTTATCAGAGTTGACCATCTAGTTTCATCTGATGTTTAACCGGTCTTTTTATTCTTCCTGGTTTAGCCTTGTTTTGGCTTTTCATCTGATGCTTCAATGTCTCGATTTGTAGTAGGCCTCATCTAGTGTTTGTTGAATGTTCTTTCGTCTATGATTGGACCTGATCTTGATGCTTGACTGGCCATCATCTGATTCTCTTGTTTGATTTGTCTAGGCTTCGTAGATCTTGCATTTAATGCATTTGATCTTGCATTAAGTGTTTGCTTGCTGAATCCGCGTTTCACGGGTGCAGAGGGTGGTGCATGCATATTCTCTATTCTTCAACTTGCTTGTACTTATGTTTTTATCTGAAACACTAACACATTTGTTAGAGATAACAATATGCATTATATTTGTCTCATTCAAAACCTTACTGAGAATTTCTTCGTTTGACTTAACATTACAAAGCATGAATAAGAATCACTAAGGTGAGTCTAGTTGTTGAGGTTAAGATAGAATGTTAAAGATCCTAAGTTTGAATCTCAATGGAATCATTGTATACCAAAAATAGCATGAATAATTTAGATAATGAATAAGGCATAGTTGCTTACTTAGGACTATAGGTCTTGATAAAATAAACTATGTAAGTAGGCTTTCAGGGTAAGCCAAACGTTTAAACAAGTCAAGTTAGGCCTTAAAAAAGGAGTCTATAACAAGGCAAATTTGTTCTTAGTAAATATGTTTTATTTATTTTTTTCATAGAAATTATTAACATGCAAAGTATACTTTAGGACCAAGGCATCATAACAATGCTAGCATCCCAATGCCTACCAATTATTTGCAGCCTACCAAAAATGTATATCAAAAGAAGAAAAAAATGAACAATGAACATAGGGAGACATAGACCAAAACCCATGTACAAATCAACAAAACTAAAACGATGGTAAACCACTCCGATTACGGAAAGAAAAAAAAAGGCTCCTCAATACAAGAGGGCATAACATCCCACCATAAAAAATCTAGAAACAAGTTCAAAACTAGCTAACTTATCAATATATTGATTGTCTTCTCTATAAATGTGATAAAAAAAAATAAGATGCATCTATGAACAAAGAACTAAACAATGTTTCTATCTACTATAGAGATTTGAAGGGACCAAACTCACATTAGAAAAAGCTTTCAAAGTAAGCTCTAGATCACTTTCCAACAATAGTCGATGCCAACCAATTGAGTGAGCATATTCAATAATAATCATTAGCGCAATGAGTTTTGCCTGCAAGGTTGTTTTGATGCCAATATATGCCAATAGTAAATATGTTTTATGCTAGGCTCAAGCTTGTTAAAGTTTGACTTAGTATATGAATTGTTCCAACTCTTAATAATGATATTTTCTAAGTGATTAACTTATATTGAAAACCTTATGTTTCTAGTATTATCTTTTATTAAATATATTTTTAGTTCTTAAAATTTTGTCAATTTTTGTTTTTAGTCCTTCAACAAATTTCATTTAGTTTTAGTCCCAAAAACTTTTCATCTATGAACAAAAAAAAATTATGTTAGGGATCAAAATGTTAATGAGAGAAAGAGTTCAAGGACTAAAAGTGAAAATAAGAAAAATTCCAAGGACTAAAATTTTAGTAAAAAAATTATTCATGGACTTAAAACTAAAATTAACAAAAGTTCAGAGACTAAAAACATATTTAATTCTTTTTTATCATAAGATTACAATGATGATGACAAAGTTAAGCCTAAAACAATGGACATACTACCGTAATCGCAATTACTAGGCCAATCTTAATGGCATTTCTAGTGTTATTTGATTATGAATTAGGACTTATGTTTAAATGATTTAAGGTTGCATTTGAATGATAATTTAAGAGTGAATTTTCAATTTAGTTGTAAAAAAAAAATTTATTAGTATTTTTCATTGATATATTGATTTTATACACAAGTAAAATGCCTATATTAGGTGAGTATAGGTATATAGGTACTCAATGGATATCAAGATAAGTATTAAAGTTACTACGAAAATTGGAGAAGGTAAAGAGTATTTTTTTTTTCAAATGCAAGGTATGGGCATGGTTACTATATAATAGTACCATACCCTTTTATATATATATATATATATATATATATATAATGATCATCAATTTTAAGGTTCTCGATACTATTCACAATTCAAAAAATACATTTTTCAATATACAATCTGTATCCCCATTCAACTCCCATACCTCAAATAAAACAGATGACTTCATGCAGCTACAGTATTTTTACTCTCACATGAATTGGGCTTCTTTTGGGCTTTTTATTTCAAATACAAATATAGAGAGAGAGAGAGAGAGAGAGAGAGAGAGAGAGAGAGAATAGTACACTATCCAAACCTTATTGTTAGTTCAAAAAATAATCTTAGATCCCTCTAGTTTAAAGTTTTGTTGTTAACAAATAAAAATATTTTTGATCAATAGAAAAGTTTTCAAAATGATTAAAATGAATATTTTGAGAAGACACAACTTCTCACTAAAACACAACTTTTCATAAGACAAATCCTCATATAAGACGAAAGATTGGTGCACTAAGATGAAGCCTTATTTCTAAAGAAAAATATGCATTAAATTTTTGTCATTTATGATCTCTAAAAAGGAAATGACTATGTCTGAATGTTTCCTTAACAGATTGAATTAAAAATTATACTTCCTTGATATTTGCACTTTACAAAAAGGAAAGGAAGACATGACTTGCATTAGAAAATGACAAGTAGGTCCTTGCAAACACGAAAGTT